ATCAGACAAGAAAGGAAGGAACCTTCACTGTCTCAGAGAAAGAAACTTAGGAAGGGCCTGCCTCAACTGATCTGACACTTAAAAGTGATAGCCAGAAATTTGTACCTTCAGATTTGTAAGACTCTGTTAATGTACCCTTACAATAAAGTAGAATTAGCTCAGTTTCCTGCCTAATTTACCTGAGAGGGCTGAAAAGCAGTTTGATAATGAAACAGTAATTGTTGCTGATATTAACATCAATATCGCACTACACCTGTAGATGTTACATTTTTCATACTTCATTCACTCACATTTAACAGAAAGTTTTTGTGCCATGGCTGAACCTGAATCCACTTTATAATTTATGCCAGTTTCTTACCTAGTTATAGACTTCAATGGCTCATCAGTAATACACTTATAAAGGACTCAACGAGAGAGGAAAAGAAAGTGGCTGTTCAAGGATGCTAAAGAATAGGAGCCCAGCATATCAAACAGTATTTCTAGAGCCTAGGATTGAAAAAGCCTTTGAAAATGTTGCTCGTAAAAGGCAAAATTAAATAAAAATAATTTTTTTAGAAATTTTAATTTGAATAGAACTGAATTTCTGATAATTCATGACAAATCATGTGTAATTTACTTGGAAACAATATGGAAGTTGTTTGCCACTGCCCTCTTCTGGGATTTTTTTTTAACTTCTCAGGCTCTAGTTCCTATTGGCCTGCCAACAACATATTAACCTGATCTAATGCAGCTTCATTTTCTGAAATCAGACAAAAATAGCTAGATATTTTACTCTTGGTGTTTTTGAGATACTGTTCTATTAATTCTCACTCAGACTTTCAATAAAAATAAAATAAAAATTATTTTAGCAACACAATTTCAAATTTTCTGTATGCACACATACATAAATAAATCTACTTGGGAAACGTGGGCCTAAGGGAACCCAGATTCTTTGAGTGATTGTAGGATTTAATATTAAGAGATTAAGAGATTTAAAAGTACTAATATAATGTATTTAAATATATGGCTATCTGCATTATATTAAAAATATTGAAGAAGTTTTAAATTAAGTCTAAATTGGCTTAGGGCAGGGGTGGCCAATTGTGGCTCTTTTACAACCTGTGCACTTCAACTCCCAGAAGTCCACAGATTGTAAAAGAGCCACAATTGCCCACCTCTGGTTTAGGGCAGGCTAACTTTCTCCAATCTCACATATTCCAATTGTGTTGGGACTGCAGCTTCAGAATTTCTAACCAATAATTTCTATGCTGATTCTAGGAACTACAGTCACAACACATATAAAAGCCACCAGGCTCAAGGAAAAGTAGCTTAGACGTAACTACTAAACAACTGTTTTGGGGGTTGTAGTTTTTACTGCAAAAACAGGAATAAAAGAAATAAAAATTCCTGGCAGCAACAGTTTGTAAAGGACACCCAAATCCTCTAATATTACCTAATATCAACCATTTCACTCACAGAGTTATTATATCAAAATTTCACAGGAAGCAGAAATGACAAGTTTACCTGACCAGGAAAAGAATGCATTGTGTACAATATAGATAAAACTTTGAACAAAGTTGAAAATATAGTAATGCAGGAAAATACAATCTCAGGATGCTATTAATAAGCTTTTATATTATGTAGGATGTTCTTACTTATCAGAGTCCAAGAGCCCATAACTTTACATTATTCATTAAAAATTTTCAGCATCTCCATTTTAATAATTCCTTCAGTCAGACATCTTCAAATCAGATGAATGCTGTGTTAAATAGCTTCAGTTAACTGAAGAAACTGCAGGATTTATTTATTAGAATTTCCTGTACTTTTTGGGGGAGTGGGAGATGTCCCATGCTGAAATGCTTTTCCTCTAAATTGTTGTCAGATAAACAGATTGGATAGAGGCTATACTGAATAAGAATAGTACCTAGGCAGAAGTTTATATCTCTGTTAACTGGCAGGCTCTTCCCAAGTATAGGAAATGCATTCACTAATCAAATAAGAAATATAAAGGAAAATGTATGATATCAGCAAAGCACTGGGAATGCTGATGTGGTCGAAAAGCTGAAGATAAGAAAGTTAAAGCCTAGGGTAGATATAGGATAATTGAAAAGTATAAAGAATTAGTAACATTTTATTATACTTGTAGTGAATTATGTGTGTATTCCTAGTATTACATGAGTTTAGTATAATTGATTCTGAAGTTGGATATATGGAAATATTTTGGAGGCTTTGTTATCCTGCTTTATGGATATGATGCTGGCACCTAGGAACTGAAAATACTTTTTAGTTGCGAATATTTATCTGCTTTATGCTGTGGGCTGTTTAAAAGGCATATCTGAGAACACCAGATTGTGTCAGGGGAAAAGAAGACAGTGTAAACAGGTTACCTATATACAACTGTACTTTCTCTTTTTCTTTATATTGAAGTAATAGAATACTCTGAAATAAATAACTTCTACTAAGGCCCTTACATTCAAAAATATAAATGAAAAGGACATTTTCAAAGATAATTAATAGAACAGCACCTGTTAGTACAAGGCTACTGTATACCGAGTGGTTAGGATAAAGACCACCTTTTAATACCTCAAACACACACTCCCTTTTATCTTTTTTTAAGATTCTAATGCTTTTCTTTAAACTATTTGATGCAAGTGTGTTTATTTTAAAACATTTAAGAGCAGAAGGTTACAGCCTAAACCTAATCAGAAACTTCAATTTTAATACAGCATATTTTCAAATACATAAAATGCTAGCGCTAATCAGTGTTTAGTAAGAATCACATCAATTTAACATTACTATATAAGTGAAAGGTTGTTACCCAATGGTAATGTATACAAATGTATACAAAATAATTCTAATACTATTATTCAAGTTATTAATAAACTTGAATAAAAACTTATATTGATATATTGAATGCAATTTATGAAAAAATAATAGTTGACACTTCAAATTTCAAAAAGTTTTGAAATGTGATTTTGTTGGACAATAAAACTTCACCCCCTTCCAACATTTGTTTAGGTGCAGCAAACTGTAAACATGTCATCAGTTGGTCAAGACTGGTAAAGAAAATAATTCCTTATTTATGGAATACAGGATCAGACAAAACAAAGAACAAAATCTCTTATTTATTTCTTAACCTTTCACAGATCGAATACCCACTCTTGTAATAAAGCCATTATAAAATAGGGAAATGACTTAATCAGAAGAGTAATGGGATGTGGCTTTAAGCTGTATCAATTCAATGCTTAGCTTAATTAACTGGGCTAATAATGAAAAGCTTAAAAGTATGGAGAATTCCCCGTGAAATTATTAGATCAGGGCTACACTGACAAAGCAATCCTGAAATTAAATCTAACGAATTCTAGAAATATTTCTGAAATGCGTTCCAGACACTGAACACATTTACTGTAGTCCAATGCCAAGCTCTCATTTCTTTTCTCGGTAAATGCGACATAGTCAGGCCTAGTATGTAGGCCTCTGTAGTACAGACAGAACCTTTGTTCCATACATCGATGTTTCTTTCTAAAAGCTCTTGAACAAAACTTTCCATTCTCCCCGCCTTAATGTTTTCTTGTTCCTAATGTAAACTTTTTCAAATTCCTGATGTCTTTTAAGCCCACTAGGAAGAACATCACCCCCCACCCCCCGCCCTCCACCGCGACAGGACTGCCCATTAGGAGAAAGGAACAATAAAAGTTGTACAGCAGGCAGCTCGGCCTGCAAGGCTGGCAAACGCCTCGAGATCAGTTTGAATGTTAGCCCGGTACTAGTCGGCAGAAGCTCAAGTTGTCGTGCGGAAAAGAAGGGGGGGGAGAATGTGAATATCTAAATACGACGCGTTATGCAAACAAACCACAAGCTAGGCTAGTTTCTTCTCGAATATACCAGTAATACAAACCAGCTCTAAAATTACAGGGTGAAAACAATCTGCTCCAGTATTAGGATTCAACACCTAAGGGAATCTATTAACGATCATTCTTCTCTTCCCTCCCCCCCCCCATTCCTACTCCCCCACAACTACACAATATGATTTCCCCTGTTTTCGGCCCCAAAAGCAAGTCAGCATTAAGGCTGATCATTTAGCTTTTCTTTTCTTTCCTTTTAAAAAAAAGTGTAATCGTCTGGTTGGGAAGGATTTTTCCCCCTTGCTTCTCTCCTAAGTGTATTCAAGGGGGCTCAATAACAGCATCCAAGAAAAAATAAATAAGAGAGCCCCCCCCCGGGGGGGGGAAGATAGTGATTAGCTGAAGGACTGAGGAGAAACGAGGCACAGCGAAATGCAAATCGGATTCAGGATAAACATTAAAGCTGTCCTTTTGTATCCAACAGCCACACAAAACCATAAAGACAATCTTTACTTGGGCGGAAGGGGGGGGGGAGAGAAAGCAAAGTAGGAAAAGGGGTTAGGATAGGCCCAAACGGCAGAAAGGAGCCCGAGTCAGTTTTCGGTACTGTTGGAAAAGGGGCCTATAAATTGGGTCTTCAAATTCACCCTTTTAATACATCAGAGTTAGCAGAAGAAAGACAGGAAAAGAAAGGAAGGGAAGGGCTGAATCACGATAAGCTTCACCCTACCGCTTGGCCATTTTAGCAGCTCCATTTCTGCCACCCTGGCTTCCCTTTCGTCACTTCTTTGCTTTGGGGAGGAAGGGGGGGGGACACCTTGACCCTGGGAGTTTTCCCCACCTCGGTATATAAAGCACCTTCTTTCTGGCCGATTACTTCCTCATACCTGAGTAAGGCCTCGACCCATGAGACAGCCAACTAGTCCTCTGCCCTTCTTTCCTTTCCTGGCCCAGGATATCCCTCGCCACAAGCCTCCTCTGTCAGGCTCCGCAAAACAGTCCCTTCCTCCCACCCATCCCCCACTTCGGCCCTCAGGAAAAAAGCAGGCAAGGAAAAGAAGGGACCTTCCATTCCCACACACACACACATACAAAAAAGCGTCGCCGAGAAAAATAAGTCGCCGCCGTCGCCGCCCGTCTTGTCTTCTCCCCACTCCTCCCTCCTTCGCACAGTACCTAGTTTGTCCCGACGCGGCCTCCGCAAAAGCGCTCCGTGCCTCCCCGGTAGCCCTGGCTCCTTTTCTGTCCTGCCCGGCGCCTCTTCCCTTCAATTATCAGCTGAAGCCGCAGCACCGATCAGTGCGCCGTCTGCCTCCGCTACCGTACCCCTCCAGCGGCGTAGGGGGAGGCCGGGGACTACTTCACCCCCAAAGGGGGCCGGGGGCCCCCCTCTCCCCCCCTCGCCAGCAGCGGGTGTTCTCCTCCTCCCTGCCTCAGCGCTCCCTGCCGCGGAGCCGGCAGCCCCCCTCCTTCTCTTAAAGATCGGCAGCAGTTCTATCCTTCCTGTCCCCCTCCGCTCGTCTCAGACGTTCCTTGGCTGGAAAAGAGGTATCCCTCCGCTGGGGTCGTCACCCCCGGGGTACGTGCAAGCGTTATCCCCTCAGGGTCGGCGAGATCGCTCCCGTCGCTCCTCTCCGCTCTTTCCCCTCCTCAACGGTGGCGATACCGAGGCCCCTCTTTCCTTCCTGGGGGTGATAAAAAAACCTCCGCGACTTCTATCCCTAAGAACTGGTCGTCTCCTTTAAGAGAGGGGGCTGGGCTTCCAGTGACCTTCCATTCGCCCGCCCCTTCCTGGTTGCCAGAGCGACTGGGAGTTGGCGTCCTAAAATGGCGTCCCTCCTGGACGATACTTTGTTCGAGACGCGCGGACAAGCCCCGGCGCCCAGCAAAGACTTCTACCAAATCATCGTTACTAGGAAGGATGTGAGTATATATATATATATATATATTTCTCTCTCTCCCCTCCCCCCTCCTTCTAGAGATTTGTTTGGAATTTCTCTTGGAGGGTGGTGACTAAGTATCGAGGAAGAAAGAACAGAGGACGGTGCTTCGACGAAGGGAAAGAAGGAGTGCCGATGACCCTGGATGTACGAGAATACGTTCCTTGCGGGCAAAATAAAAGAAGGAAAGCGGGGGAGGAGAGAGATTCGCCGAGTGCTCATCTTTTTCCCGACAGTTCCTGATTCAGGGCTGGGATGTAAGTCGATTAATAAGGATGGACTGCAATGCTAATGCTAGCTCCGGCTAACGAAAAACAAAACAAAACAAAAAATGGCCATGTGCAACTATAAGATGATTTTCCCGGATGGGGCCCTCAACCTCTAATGCGGAATTAGGAATAGGCTACACTTCTAAACGCCAGTCAGTATGTCGGCCATTGTCTGAAATTCTGAAAGTGATAGTAAGTTATAGCTGGAAAGCAACAATTTCCTTAAATTTGCCCTAATTTGCCTCAAATAACATATACAGATGTTCAATGGTTAAAGCTATAATAAACCTTTCTTCTAATTAAGCCCTTTGTAATTGGATTTATAAATAGAAGAGAGGCAGAAGCTGACATGTATATCTTACTTTCTCATTTTATTGATAAAATTCCTGTTTTGTTACATTCATCCCCTATTATACGTGAGCAAGGAAAATAGTTTGAAGTTTTGAATATGCTTCTTCAAGAACAGCTAGCTAGAGAAAGATAGGAGGTAATAGGTATACAATTTTTAACAATATTATAAATGCTTTAGCTTTTACACTTCTACAGAATTATATGAAAGCAAGATTCTTTGAAAGAGCAGAGTGTTTTATATTTTTTATTCCTAAGTAAATATTTTTCAGTACTAGTGTTTTATAAACCATGTGCTAAACAAGTCAATGTTATGTCCTCCATCTGCTTTGGATTTTATTCCCATACTCAAACAGCCCAATTAGTAGCAAGGGACTATATCTGTTACAATCTAAAATATCTGAAATGCATAGAAAAAAATCAGTATTTACTAAATACAAGAACCTGAGCTGAATGTTTAAACAGATAAATTAGGGCAAGGATTCGAAACCAGGTGATTAAGGTAAAATTTCCAGATTTCAATTAAGCTACTCCACCTGGCACAATTGTAGTTCCTTACAGTTGCTTTTAAGTAAATATAAAAATGTGTTTTTCTGGTAACTGAATTGTCACTTTAAAAAAACAGAATAACATAGATTGCTTAAAAAGTAATTCATTCAACACTAGAACTTATCTTAATAATTTCCTAATAGAACACCTGCTCCCTCAAATCCTTCTCTCCTACCTCAATGAGGTGACAGAGTGTTTCTAGGAGAGGTGAGCAAAGAATGCCAGTATGTACATCATGATTATATAATCCCAGCAAAGCTGTTTCGCTAAATCAAATAGGTATGTTTATCCGGCATCCGCAACATAGCAAGATATCGGAGGCAGATGATTAGTGACACCATTTCATACCATGGAAGAGATGGCACTGGCAAACCACCCCTTAATTTAACAGTGAATAGACAATATAAAAGTATTGATAATATAGTAATGGTTGATTGGCCTCTTAGGTCTGATGGCACTCAATGTGTTATTGAGGAAGAGCTGAGTAACTTTTGGAATATTAATGAAGTTTACAAAACGTCTAGATTAAAGCCTTTGAGATATCTAGTTGCTGAGGTTGCTATACAAAAAAGGAAAATTTGAAGCTGCAAAGACATTACAATGGGAAAAAATATGAGATGCATCTACATGGGAGAGTTCATATAGTGAAAGACAAAATAAATTGACTATGCATTAAACTTTCTGGCATCATTGCACTAAAATTGACTGGAATTGGAAATTTTCAATCAAAAGATCATACTGTTTATTACTAAAAATATGAAAAGCCAAGAAGAAGCAGGGTTTCTTTCATAACCAGGAAAGCTAAAACAAAGACTGTACTTGGGAATAATGCAATCAGTGATTGAATAGTATCAATTATACTCCACAGGCAACCATTTATTATGATGCTTATCCAAGTTTATGCTCCAACTACTGATGCAGAAGACGAGGGGGTTAATCTGAAGTTACAAAATATGTAAGCAAGATGTGCTGCTTGTATTTGGCGACTTGGAAATATTACAAAGAAAAATGTAATTCAACTGTATGGCTTAAGAAAGTGAAATGAAGCAGATCAATTTACCAATTTCTCCCAATCCAGTCACTTTTTCATTGCTTACACTATATTTCAGCAACCATATCAATACCTATATACATGAATATCACCAGATGGTGTACACAGAAATAAAATTGACTATATTATTAGCTCAAGGAAGTGGAAGAGCTTAATTATAACAGCAAAGGCCACGGCTGACTCTGGAACATATCATAAACAACTCATGTGCAAATTCAAAGTCAAGCTAAAATGGAAGAAGAAAGCCAACCAGTTTCCTTGATATGACCCATCATTTTTCAGAAGAATATCATAAGAGATTGGGTAAATTTTATTGAACCAATCTGCTCTCACTCCACAATTTTGCTCTCTGGCTAGGTTCACAAATGACACCAGTCAATGGTTCGTTTAATCACTGTTGGGTTCTCATTAAATGCTGAATCTTATGGTGATTTAAGATTCCCAAGTAAATCCAGTATAGTACATATCATTTAAAAAATATTTAAAAACTTTTTTCTAAGAAAGGTCATCTTTTGAAAGAGGCAAAGCTGCTATTCTAAATGTTTACTTTAGCTAACTTTTTTAACATTTCTATGTCTTTTCCAAGAAATATTGTGGGGAAAATCACAGCATTTAATCTCTGGATTTTCAGCAATTACTTTAATAAGTATAGTACGGGAACATTCCTTATATAAAGAATAATGATTAAAAAATCATTTCATATCTGTGTATGTGATACAGCTATTCTCTCAAGATTTTAAAAACAATCTTACTAGTCTTAAATATGGCAAATTGATTAATGTTGTATTAATATATTTAATTTCATGAATTATCTGGATAATTGGATAGTTTCTCAAACTTTATATCCAGAAAGGTCTGCCTATATTTTGTTGTTTGTTTTTGCAGTGGATAATTGTATAATAAATTAAGATTTACTTTTTACTTTTGTCAAAAACAGTTTTTCTGCCACTTTTTTTTTATTAGTTACAATTATAGATGTGAAAAATTCTATTCGATAACAAGCCAAGTAACTCCTCTTACAGTTCCTCAAAACTGCTCTGTTTTGAAAGCATAGAAGAGGAAGTAAAGAGTGAAATTGCAATTCACCTTGCAGTCATTATTTACAGTTTCATGGAAAAATGCTTATTTCCTCTCTAATAATCAGAGGCAATGTGTATGTAGCCTGTATTTCATAACATGCTAAGATTTAGGTCTCTTTAGTTCCTGTTGTGCCAGGCAAACTATTCACAGATTTTTTGTTTTTTAAAAAAACCTTTCCTGATATAAGTAATGAGAGATGCAATTAGATTCTTACTTCATTTCCTGGGGAAAGAACAGCAAAGGAGAAAACAAAAATAATTTGTGGGAATTGGAGGTTGCTGTGTTGTAACAAAGCTGCCCCATTTTTTTTTACCTTGGGAATATATTTATTAAGAAAGTATATATTTTCTTATATGCTGTATATATGTGTGTATTAACCAATAACAAGTAAGTTCAATTCAAACTTAAACAGATTCATTACAATGAATACAATACATTGTAATACATTACAATGCCAATAGACATAGATAGTACAAGTTTCTTGTATCTGACATTTGTATCTGTATCTGAGTTTGGTTAAGATTAGATGGCTTGTTATTTGACAGTATAATGTACAATTATAGTTACAATCAAAAGTTTGTACAATATTCTACATTACAGCAGTTGTATATGTGCATATAATCTGATTCTCAATCCACAAAATTGTAAGTGTTTACATTTTTGGTAATACTATATACTAAGTGTTAGTATTTCAATTATTTGTGACTTAAAAGTAATATATTTTTAAAGGTTGATAAATGGATGACAAAGAAATATCAAAATATTTTTCGAAAGCCTAATGTATTTCTGATACATTTAATCATTACTAAATATATGGTTGTAATACTACACATCAATAAGGGCTTTTTTATTTGAATGCATCGTGTCAATAAACTGAATATAAAGGCAGAATCACATCTGGGTTATTTTTCTTCCTTCTGCTTCTTAAGGACTTATTTACTAGGCAATCTTGATTGGTTCTTTATATAATGTTTGGGTAATATTGATTAAAATATTGATGTAGTCAAATAACATTGTGAAACACACACACACACACACACACACACACACACACACATATATTAAACAGAAATCCTGATTTGACAATAAACACTACTGAATGAAGAGGGTAAAACTCCATAACAGCAGAAAATGCATATGCATATTACATCAGTGCAGCATTCCATAAACAAATGAGATTAGCAGAACTATGTATGATAGCACATGATCCACACATTATTTTGAACCTATTTCTATGGCACTTCTTTTCTGTCCATCTTTAAGAAATACCCTTATTTCTGAAGTATATCAATATAATTATTTTATCTTGTATTCTATAATAAAGTGCTTGATATACCTTCTCTATCCATCCAGTAGCAAAGAAAGAGAAAATCTTTAGCAAGGAAGTATTATTAGTAGTCTTTCACATTATTTCTTATATGGTGCTTTTCAAAATACAAGTAGCTTCTATGCAATTGATTCTTTGTAGGGTGTTTTTAAGCTCAAATTTCCTAAACAGCATATGAAAAGCTACTTTTAATATTGAACTCCCCCCAAATATTTTATCAGCATTTGAAATCTGTTGGTCAAATTAAAATTGGACAATCCCAGGTCCACAACATGTATCCAATAGCTGTGGAATGTGGGCCTCTGAGGTATTCATCCTGACATTATACAAAGAGTTCTCTTTTTTGGTGCAAGCACCTCCATGGCTAAATTAATCCTATATTTGTGTGACCGGGTTACAAATAATGCAACCATATTTTGGCTCAATGGAAATCCATCCATGGTTATTTTGTGGTTTACTGTATTATGAAAATCTGCCAAATTGGATTGAGTAAATCATTAATAAACGAATCATTGGTGTCATTTGCAAACATAGTTATTTCTGCAATAGTATCTATGATTACTAAAAAAAGAAGTTATGTGCTTTCCCAGAAGGAAGCCAGTTAGAGACTTTACATTCCAATATATTTATTAATGTCCATCCTGAATTATTTTATATAAATATTAATGTTTTGCGGGTTCCACTTAATGTGCTGGATCTGCTTTTTGCATGGATTGGCCTTGTTTTTGCAGTGAAGTTTATGAATACATAATACAATGGAGCAAGAAATGTTCAGTAAGCTTGCCATACAGCCTGATGCTAATTAGGACTGAGAGAAAAGGCTAGCCCCAAGTCATTTTTGCCTAATCTGACACCCCCCCCCATTCCCAGTCCATCTCCTTAATCACTATACCAGCTATCTAAATAATTTCTCTAAATACTTGTCACTATTCTCCATTCATAGGTGATTTTCAGGTGGTGGAAAATTTCTCTTCGGAGTGAATTCCGTGAAGCAAGGCCTGGAGAACTCAAAGAATCTCATGAAGATTTCTTGGATGATCCCTCCCTCCAAAGTAGAATACTATGAATTTAGTCATAGCTCAATGAGTGTACTAGTCTGAAGAAAATGCATATTTGAAGAAAATGTGATAAGTCTTATCTTTAACAATTATATATAATAATTGTATAATAGTAATAGAACACTATTTTATTTTTATGACAAATATGAATGCATAATATAGTGCTAATAATTTGACATCTTTTTAAAAAGAACATTTTTTAAAAGTGTTAAAATTTGGGATTAAATATCCATTATTTGTGGCATAGAAAATAATCTATAGATTCCTATACAGCCATTTACAACAGATAAACTCTATATGAAAATGCAATAATATTCACCAACATGTGGAGGACCAAATCTACTTTTGAAGAGTCTCGGTGTTCTTTAAAATTCTTATTTACTTAAAATTATTTAGATGAATCAGAGTTGTTTTGGAAAATTAGATCTATTATTCAGGAAGCTAGGTGAATTTTCCCCAATCATAAACTAAATAATAGGAGAAAAATATTGTTAGTTTGTTTATTATTACTGTAGCAGTCCGTTTCATCAAGTGAATTGGCTTAAACTCTAACTACAACCCTGGACATTACTGTATACTGTAAGCAAGCAACAAAATAAACAAATGCATAAATAATTACAATATAATAATATGAATTCATGTAATATTATAACAGTGTATACTTCATCTCTATGCTCTTAAAACGTAACATACATAAAGAAGAGAAATAAAGCATACATTTCAAATCACATTATATGCAGCAACTTAAGACTTCAGTATTCTGTTTTAAACAACATATGAGAAATATATAAACAATATTAGTTCTTTTCTTGATTTTGGACAAAGTTAAGTCTCTTTTGGTCATACCTCAGTTACATTCCAATTTTCATAATATCAATGGGGATTTCATAATAAAAAGGGATTTGTGATTTCACCCAATGAATTACTGTATATAGTGAAAAGTTGATTATTTATTATTATTATTTATTGTTATTATTATTTATTGAATTTGTATACCGCCCTACTCCCGAAGGACTCAGGGCGGTGAACAGCCAGATAAAATACATATAATACAAATGTTAAAAAAGCATTAAAATACAATTAAATAATTGGCCCAGAAAATGAAATTTAAAACACCCCAAATTCTTAAGACAAATTTAAAATTGAAGAATTTTAAAATTTTAAAAAGTTTAAAAGAGAGGTTAGGCCAGGCCGGCCTGCTGGAAAAGAAATGTTTTGATTATAATAGACAAAAATCAGCTTTTTAAGCTTAGGCAACAATATTGGTAATTCTGCAGACCTTATATGTAAACAAAAATGTAGTGACAGAATTCAGTGAACAGCCTCAAGGTCTTTATTATTTTTTTTCCAAGAAGGCAGACATTACATAACTACAATTGGATTAAAGTAAAAGAAGATGGAGAGATATTCTGAAGGGCTAATTCCAAAAAGATGCTAGTAGGCAAATACATTAGTCATTTTTAAACAATCTTGCTCAGTTCCATTGTAATGTTGGGAGGCATTCACAGACATGCTGTCATTAAAAAAAATTGTTTTAATCTCAAGAAAAGATAAAGTAAAATTAAATTTGTCAAACCATTGTATGTCAGTCATTAGTTTTCTCTGAAAAACATTGTGTGAGGTATTGCTTATAGCAAAATGCTTATGGAATAAATATTTTATATAGTGGAATAAACATTTTAAATAGTGGAGAACTGATAATAGTTTTTAAATGTTTGTAATGATAAGTGAATATCAACCAAGAAAAATAATCATGTAATACTAATAATGCAGTTTTCCAATTTATGCAGAGTATTGCCATGCTATTTAAAATAATTTTGTACTAGATATGATTTTGTGGAAATGCATCATTGTATACACATTAGAACTTCTATAATATCTCTGTGCGTGCATGTGTGCAAACACATATTTCAAACTTGAGTTCATTCTGTATTGGCAATAAGAAATGTTTAAATAATGGTTCCATCCACACAGGAATGCTTTACCTAAATGAAGCTATTTTGATAGAAGTGCTTTGGTGGGAAGATTACATTAGTAGAAGGACAATCTCTGAATCCATCTCTATATTGTATCTTATTATAGCTTATGAAATGGAATTCATCTCTTAGTTTTCTACAAAATGTGTAAATACAATATCAGTTATTTTTGCATAATCATCATCATCTTGAAAAATGTAATAATATAAACAAATGGAGGGTCATACATCATAAGAGAGCCGGTTTGGTGTAGTGGTTAAAGCAACAGACTAGAAACCAGAAGACTATAAATTCTAATCCCTGCCCTGAAAGCCAGGTAAGTGACTTTGGGCCAGTCATTCTCTCTCAGACCAACCTACCTCACAGGATTGTTGTTGTGGAGAAAATAGCAGTAAGGAGGAGTATTAGCTGGGTTTGCTGCCTTGAGTTGTTTATAAAAATAAGACAGATCAAAAAATGTAAAAAAATTTTTTTTAATGAAATTGTAATCCTAATCCTTTTGGGCAACTTTATGAGGGAATTAGAATGAGGCAAAAATATCCCTTTACTGATAGTAAGAAATTCCGCAGGAGGGGCAAATCTGTTGGTACCATAGGCTCCCACCAAGCTGTGCTGGCCAAGATTTATAAATAGCAGCATTCCTATTGCCAGTACATTCTGAAAATCTCTCACGGATCTAAAACCTCTTAAATAGTTCTTTAGGATTGGGTTCATCAATAATTCCAGTCTATTACTATTGGACAAAGCAATCTTAAATCAGTAGGAGGGGGGGCTTGTTGGCACTACTATCTATACTCTATACTATCTAAAAGTATGTCTATACTGTCTATAGATGGAAGACACATTTGGATGCTACCCAACATACCTTATGGATCTGAATAGATTCCTACAGGAAATCATTCAGATTCCTTGTAGATTTTGCCATTGATCTGGCAAATAGTTTAGTAATATACTTGATCAGTCTCTGAAACTCAGATAAGTACATTAAATGTCATTCCTATAAAACAACTTCTGCCTGTCCATCAACCCCAGGAAATTCCTTCATTCACCAAGGAGTTCTGTAATAGACAGTAAAACAACTGAAGAGAAACCTGGAGGATCAGTGGTATAAAACAAGTAGTAACTAAGACTGAACATAAGTACAAAGTCAGGTTTGAATCCCCAATGTGACTATAGTGAAGAAATAAAACTTTTCTGTATTTATTACCTTGTGAAATAGCATCTAGCAGCTGTGTTTAATGTGATATGCACCCTGTTGAGAATGGGCAAGCATCAAGACATCACTATGAGCCACTAGGATTTTGGCTAAATAGTGTGCTGAGCATTGTTCAGATATCCTGTGGCCAGAATTGGATAAGATGACCTGGGTCATGTCTTGCAAAGTCATCTAGATTTTGTGAGCATGTAATCTCCAAGAAAATGGACAGGGTCCCCTACAGGATGAGCTCTGCTACTTGCACATCCTTATTACCTGCATGAATAGGAATAAAATTGAATTTTGAAATAAAAGTGGTAGGAAAATGCTTAAAGCGTAAAGCACTTGAAAAATATAAAGTCTTTTAAAATTCCAAGTGTCATAAATATTATTTTATTGTGCATATTGTAATCAGTACTACTAAAACATTTGCAATATACATGTGTGTTATTTTGAGTAATCTGTAGGCAAATTACTCAGATTTATCAAATCAGTGCTGAACAGTTTTAGTAATAGAGCCCCATATGACCACAATTGCTAAAATTATTAGCATAATTATTTCTTACTCAAGCAAAAAAAAGAATAAAAACAAAAAATAAGATCTACTGTAATTTTAACATAGTTTTAAAAAATCATTTCAAAACTTTCTGTTCCACTCAAAATAATAGAAAAAAATCCTTTTACTCCATGATGCTAAGATCGGCCTCCAGGAGGTGCCATGTTAAGCCTTCTTTTACAGCCAGTTATCATTCATTATCTTTCGTCCTGTCACATTCATTTTCATTATTCTCACCATCCTGCAATTTCAGGATTTGCGTTTGCTTTTTCTGGCAACCCAATGGAAGCATTATCTCTGTATGCAGACACATAAAAAGCAACCAAGGATGGACTTTGGGTCAAATCTTTCAAGAGAAAAGGCTGATATAACACTTTAAGGACAGATGCTTCACTTGTGCAATGCATATTACAATATGTCCTTTTCAAATGCTTTATACAGCCCTAGTAGAATAAAGTAAAGAAGAATCACCAAACAACTATTGTTGTATGGTGGCTTTCTCCATCTTGCTGAGAATTATGAAATTAATCATTGCAGCTCATTTCATTATGAAGTTGAGGAAGTCTGTTATAACACTGAATATCTCAAACGAGTTCAACAACTCAAGGACCGGTGCGCTTTCAACAATGGTTCCATAAGTACTGTCTAAATTGTAAACAAAAAACCTGTTTAATATCTTAGTTCTATTTAAGTTTCTCTGACTTACTTATATTTTCTAAAATTGCAGTTCAAATAGCCATTGTGTTTGGAGCAAGCACTCTGGAGCATATCTTCAATCTGTGCAGAGGTAATTTTGATTACCTGGTGCGACTGCCAGATACATTGCTTCTGTACATCATGTCTTATTTGGATCTTGAAGACATTGCAAGGCTTTCCCAAGTATCACGCAGATTTGAAATGGTAAGCTTAAGGGACTTAATGTGAGTAGCTATACTATTCAAAATCCATCCAATAAACCGACTTCAGGTTTGGTTTGGTTTGGTTTGGTTTGGTTTGGTTTGGTTTGGTTTGGTTTGGTTTGGTTTGGTTTGGTTTGGTTTGGTTATTTTATTTTATTTTATTTTATTTTATTTTATTTTATTTTATTTTATTTTATTTTTTATTTTATTTTATTTTATTTTATTTTATTTTATTTTATTTTATTTTATTTAGCGTATGGCAAATACATGGATTTATAGTGGTTCAAATGTTAATGTCCAGTCCACCCAGCCATTCAAGGACAGGGTGGCCTATGTTGAAAAAATCAGACATTGGGCTGGTGTAAGCTCTTGATGGACATTCAAACACAATGTGATGGATATTTTGTCAAAGAGCACATTGAGGGGTAGAGACAAGACCCCATTTAAACAATGAGTCCTGGCAGACATCATGTTGGGTACGGATCCTGTTCAAATTGACCAATGCTGGTGAGGAAGGTCAAAACCTAGCATCTTTTCTGTAGGGTCATCTATGTAACTGCCTGTATCTGGGCATTTAGCAGCCCATTTGGCTTTCCACTGTGTGTTGATGTCAAAGTTGTTAGACATCTGCAGGGCGAGTGCCGGAGAGGGCTTCCTGGATTCCTAGGAAGAAGTCGGTTTCTCATAATTTTGTGTACTCCTTCACTAAGGCTTCCTGCCTTTGTAGAGCTGGTGGTGCAATGTGGCTCAAGATGGAGAGCCAGCAAGTAGGAGTAGATTTTATGCAACAGCCTATGATCCTCATTGTATCATTTAGTCTAGCATCGATCTTGCTAGTGTGGCAGCTATTAAGCCAAACGGATGCAGTATTCATCAGTTGGGTAGACCAACCCTAGTGCTGATATTCTGATATATCTGGCAAGTTAACCAGGGATGATTTGCATCCCTTGTTATTATAATAAAGTGCATTGAAATTTCTATAGTCTCCAAATTTTAAAATCATTAAAATACCAGTAGAGGGAGCTTAAACCAAATATAAAATGGAAAGTAATGGAGTTGCATTTTTAACAGAGTTTAATTTTGATTGTATGGTTTATTACTTTTTTAAAAAACATTCTAAAAAAATAGAATATTGATAAGGTTCAAGAAAAAAGGTTTTACAAAGTAATCTTACATTTATCTATTAAATACCATTGAGTCTTAATAAGGTTTATCCCTAGATAAACAAATATAGGATTTATATAAGTTTTCAGATCTTATTTTTTATCATTATTTGATACACATAAGTGATTAGAGATCAGATATGTACTATCAGAGTATTGCAGCTCCTTTATGTGACATAAAGAGGAATTTGATAAAGAATTTTCTTTTTAAAAACATGTTATGTAAGGTTCAAATAAAAAGGCAAATCAAAGCTAATCTATGATACAAACAACCATAGTTAAACTTGCCAGTCTGCTTTTATTTTCTGCATAAAATATATGCTTCTGCTTGATAATCCAATTAAAGTAGAACAATTTACATTCAAGTAAATTGTTGAATATTTTATATTGTAATTTATGGTAGCATATATAGTTTCTCAATCACAGTTGGCCAAACTCCAAATACAACTGTAAGGATTTTGTGAATGTTATTGAACCTCCATTATTCATGGCCATTGCCCATACTACATGGAATAGGAATCTAATAATATATTAAATGCCACAGATTTCTGTTCTTGTCTAATTCCTGTTTTTTTCTCTATAAGAGCAGCCCGGGTCAACCAGTTGCTAGTGCTTTTATTATTTTTATAACCATAAAATCTTGAAATCAAGAAGAATTTGGAATTTTTTTTTGTTTTAAGGTTGCTGGCACACACTTGCAAAGCTGAAATATTTACTACAGTTAAAGCAGATAACAGGAAATAGGAATGTAACTCAAATGTCTAGTAAAATGCATTTGCCTGAAAAATAGTGGTACAGTCCAAAAAGCAAGACCATCATCCAAATATGTTTCAAGAGTCACAGAAAGCCAAATGAGGTAGTCAGCCAAAGGGTCAAAAGCAAGAGAGTTAGAAAGCCAAATGGTTATCTCCAGCAAAAATCTGCAACGAAAGAAGCTACCTACATCTGTCTGCTAATAGTTGGCTGCAACAAACTCATGTCCCACCCTTTGTTTAGTAAGGAGTCTCATTGAGGAGAATTGCTCTGTTTGTCTCTGTGGATGTCTAAACCTGGAGCTTGGAGGTTGTGCCTTGACATCAGACTGTTACACCGGAAGAGGAGATTCCTGTGGTTGATCAGCCTCAAATGAATCCTGACTTATTGGGTCCTGAGGCTGACAGTCCTGAAGCACAAGCCAGCTGGAGCAATATCACCAGATTCAAAATGGATGGTTGTAATAAGTAACTGGAATAAAGGATGGTTCCTAAGTAGTATTTGAATTATTTTTAAAATGTAGAGTCGATACTCAAGGTGATACTATAAATTATGGATTTAAACATTATTATGCAGTTGTCTCTTTCATTTGTAGAAAAACTTGCAAATACTGGAACTCAAATAGCCCAGTGGAATCAGATCCTAATATTTATTTGCTTTTAATAAAATAAATTTATTTTTATCTGCTCGTACTTTTTATTTGTTTTACAAATAGATATGCAACTCTGACAAACTATGGGAAATGATTGTGCAAGATTTATTGGGCACCATCACTCCAGAAATGAAGTCCCTGGCACAAGAAATTGGGTGGAAGCAGTTCTTCTTCACTAACAAGCTTCAGCTGCAATTACAGCTCCGAAGAAGGAGAAATAAGTCAGCTGGTTCTTCTGGAAGTCAGTCTGATTAGATGAGTATTTTTCCTAATTAAACATTTTGAAAAGTGTGGATTTATATATATATATATATATATATTGTAAGCTGAACATCTTGTTTAGCTTTTTAGAAAAAAAATCTGATCACAAGATTTGAATAAAGATAGAGGCTCCCTTAAAATAGGCTATTAGAGATGCCTGAGAAAATCTTCGTTATATTATTCCATTCATTTTCATTTAATATTTCATTTAAATTGCATTTTGTTCTCCATTTGTTTTCAGTAAATTTATTTAAATTGTTCACATTTTATGCCTTTTGATGTTTGTTTGTTCTTTTGCTTTATTCGGACTTTGATGTCCAGCAGGTGGCAGCCACCTTTTATTTTATATCGCTGTTACCAGCAATGATTACTAATATGTATGTACTGTATGGATACATAGAGAAAGCTGTTTTTTCTTTTCATACAATATCTGAAATGACACAATGGGTATAGCATTCTAAGAAAATAAAATGAGAATTGCCAGGAAATGGCAAATGAAATCAGCTGCTATTATCAAAGAAAGTTAAGAATCCCCCACTGTCCAAATTAATATCAAATAGTAAAACTGGGATAATGAAAACTCAGTAATTCTTGGTTTCATTTGCTATAAAGCTGTTATGTAATTAACATAATCAATTGTAATCAAATTACTAATATTTCTCTCCCACAATTTCATTGACAGAGCAAACATTTCTTTGTCAGGGTTTAGTTCTGAAGTCCTCAGAAAGATCTATCCCTAAAAAAAATTAGGGGGAGGAGTTTTATAACCTTTGCTTACAAAATAATTTTTCCTGATGAGTACTTCTACAAAATCTTAGTAGCATTAAATTTACCAAGAAATGTATTTTCCAGGCAAGGTTGTTAATTTCCTGACATGTGACAGTCACACTGTGAATTACAAATTTCCAGCATACTGAATCTCTTGTTCTTTCATAAATGTATTAAAATGTGTAATGTTTTTTTCTATAGTGTTAAAATGCTGGTTCATCCTGAGTGGCTCAAAAATAAGAATATTCTATAATAGTTTTGTTTGATATATTAATTTAAAATGGATAAGAGGACCAGATCCACAACAAAATAACATTTTCTTCTTTAGAATGCTGCTATGTTATTTACCACAGACTGAATGATAAAGCAATGTTGTTCATAGGGACCCTGATTATTTGCACTATAAAGGGTCTTTTTGTTACCTAACATAATTTTCTAGAAAATATTTATAAAGATGGGGCCATTAATCTTATAATAGGAAAATAGTTTTTCTACTTTGAAGAAATAAAAATACAGCTAAATGATTTGAAACAATGCAAACATGACTATTTTCTACCTTAATAACTTCAAAAAAAATTATACTTAATTTTTCCTATTGATGTAGGTGCTTGTTGTTGTATTTTTAAAATAATTATAGTTTCAAGACTTGAATTATTTATACAGAAACAAATGTGTGTGGGTTTCCTTCAGTATCTTTTTGTTTTCCATTCCATTAATTATATGTGCCAATATTCTAGATAGCACGTTTGCTACTGATATGCCTGTCCTTAATAAAATATCCCATTTGGAAGTTTCTAAGTACTTGACTTTATGTATGGAAGAAAAATAATTCACCTTTTTATTATAAATATCTAGATAAAATCCTTATATGCAAAATTAAATAATACTGTGCAATATTTTAATGTTCAGTTAATGTTCAGTTTAATTATATAAAAATGTGCAGAATAACAGAGTTGGAAGGGACCTTGGTCTTCTAGTCCAACCTCCTGCTCAAATAGGAGACTCTATAACATTCCAGACAAGTGGCTGTCCAGTCTCTTCTTAAAAGCCTCCAGTGAAGAAGCACCTATTACTTCTGAAGACAAGCTGTTCCACTGGTTAATTGTTCTCACTGTTAGGAAATTTCTCTTTAGTTATAGATTACTTTTCTCCATAATTAATTTCCATCCATTGTGTCTTGTTTTGCCTTCAGGTGCTTTGAAAAATAGATTGACACAAACCCCCCCCCTTTTCTTTGTGGCAGCCCCTCAAATATTGGAACACTGCTATCATGTCACCACTAGTTCTTCTTTTCACTAGACTAGACAAATCCAATTTCTGTAACTGTTCTTCATATGTTTTAGCCTCCAGCCCCCTAATAATCTTTGTTGCTCTTTTCTGCACTCAAAATGGTGGCCAGATCTAAGTCTCTGTAAGATCTAAGTGTGATCTTACTAAGGCTTTATAAAGCGATCTAGTGATATTTCTTTGTCATGGCGGAAGAAAGGACAAGACAGTCTCATTGTAAAATGCCTATTGGAACTAACAGAGAAGTTGGGTTCAATTCTTTATTGGGTTTGCATTGTGTTAAACCATGGATTCTTGAATGAATTAATACATGTTTACTATCATTCTAATGCAGAAACATTAGATTATAATTGGCTTGGGCAGCACTTTGGATTTGAAGCACCAGGAATGTGAAGGTCCCAGATACTGTAGTTCCAACTCTCCCCCTTCCCAGGATGGCTGGCAGCTGCATAGGCCAGCTATGTAAGCCCAAGAAAAGATGCAACTCCTTTAAGCCATCGCTGGCAAATGTTACACTTGAGTCCTCAAGGTGCACAAAAGCACATATTTGCCTTCAAATTCAAAGTGCCTCATAGACTTAGTTTATAAATCACATAGATCACAATGCTGCTGGTCTGAATTGAGATGTCAGCAGATATTGTATTTGTAAACACTAAATAGGGTTAGTGGCTGGGAACAGATTAGTGATAATCTGTATAAAAGGTCATATCTAAAGTAAAAATCCAATATCCATCCAAATTCCAAATTGCAAGACACTTTTGGGTGAAATGCAGAATACCCTGTAAATTAGTCTAAGTTAGAATTGATACTAATAGGCAAAGATTTATTTATTAATATCTTACATAATTATTGTTATCTCTTTTACATATGCACACACACACACACATTCTGAATGTATCAACAATTTAGGCATTTTTATTCCAAGTGAAATCTCTCAAGTAATTACATTATATACCAATAATAAGCTCCAGTACTTAATATGTTTCTTTGGATATTAAAGCCAGCTTGGTCTACTGGTTAAGGCACCAGGGTAAAAAGCAAGAAATGTGAGTTCGAATCCTGCCTTAGGCAGGAAAGCCAACTGGGTGACCTTGGCCCTCTTTCTCACCACAAAGGATTGTTGTGGGGAAAATGGGAGGGGGAAGGTGTGTTGGATATGCTTGCTGTTGCTGCCTTGAGTTATTTTAAAAAATAATAAACGTGGGGTACAAATAAAGATGAATAAATTAATAGAGGGGGATATTTAAGCATTATTCTTCAGGATAATGTATACACTTTTAACATGAGCAAGCCCCATTTAATTCAAATAATTTGCAGGTCTTGGTGCTATAAAACGTGGTGAAAAATAGATCTGAGTCCCTGTTCTGAGGAAATTTAGTAGCCCAAATGATCCAAAGCAAATAGATTTGGTCAGTTAGAGTGTTCTCCTCACTCTCAGTGTCAGTGAAGTTGCTTTAGGAAGAATGAAATTTTTTCCAGGCATAGATGGTGGTGAGACAGATGGTGTAGAGTGCATACTGGTAGTATTCTGGATTGTAAAACAAAGTATTAGCCTCCTTATTCTATGAGTTAAAACAGAAGACATATGAAAGTTACAGTGAGGAGGGGGAAAGACATCTGACTTGGCTTTGAGCTCATCTGTAAGAAATTTGTAATTGTCCCAGATTCTTGTGATCAGTCTTGGCTCTTACTCTATTTTATTCATTCCAGAAAGTCCTCCTTTATGGCAAAAACTTTTTATTAAAACTTAGTAATTCTTCTCAGCTGGCAAAAGTTATCCACACAAAAATATATAAAGAAACAGGTTGCCCACAGATTGACTATAAAACTATTGCTTCCAGAGTAAAAACTGAGACATCATTTTTAATAACAAAGGGAGGGAGAGATTTGGGTGGCAAAAGTGGGCTGGGAGGAAGGTTTGCTGAGTGCCAGGATCTCAGTCAAAAGTTTATCAACTCTATGAGTGGCATAGCTAAAATTGTAAAAATTGGAATAAACTTACAAAAGAAGTTAGCAAGCCCAGAAAACACTGGAAGTAAAGCTGGAGATCCTGAGATAGGAGAGCCTTCATAAGAGGATTCATTTGCATACCTTTTCAGGAGATACAAAATCCAAAGTAAGCAAATTTTTTTTCAAGTAAGCACTCAAGCTGTGTTAGCAGTAACTTTGAAGTCTGTGTGCAATATACTCATCTAATTTTTCAGAATAAATTAGCAGGTTAAATAGATAAATATTTGTCCAAAAGGAAGAGAGTGTTTCATACGTCGTGTAAAGACTGCAGGAAAATTGGCCAAACTGAGTTCCATTACAGTACATTGAAACTTGTAGCTGGCATCAAATATTGTTAAATGTTTATACCCCTTGTTCATATGGTTAGGATATAAAGTCTCCTAAATCGAATTTGGTAAAAAATATATGTTTTCTCTATCTATTTTTAAAAGTTCAGAAATAAGTACAAGAAAGTAACAGAGTTCCAGATCTAAAACTATGAACCACATGAAGAGATATTTTTTTCATTAAAAAAAAAAACAGAGCTCCAGGTGACATGGAAGACTGGTCAACAAAATCCATTTAATTGCTTATTTTACAATATTTCTAAATCACCCTCATAGTTTACATTCAAGACAGTGAAAAAGAAAACAGGATAAAACAAATAATAATAAAAAGTAATGATAGCCATGCATTCCATTTACAATTTGTCCTCAATAAATTCATTTAGGCACACCAATTGAGTTCCAGATATTTTGTTTAACTCTTAGTTCTAGAATCAATTATAGTTTTACAAAACCACTGGGTGAGTAAATTCTGTGTTTTTTCACTTCACAAAATGTTTGTGTGGTCAACATACCAGGCAGTTAAAATAACTTGGATGGAGTCTAACTGATAAGAGTGAGTCAGATCTTGAAATCCACTAAACTATCCATGAAAATCAAACATAATGCTTTCTTGATCCCAATGAATGCACACATTATGAATCTGAAGTCAAGCCATTGCCAAGGCAGTAGAAAAATGCATCAGGTTGTCGAATTAAGATAAAGGAGTTCTTGATAATGATAGTAGAAATGACTCTGTGCACTCAGAAACTGAGCCAGATCTTAAGAGCTTGTCACTGATATTTCCATCCACATTGGGAATTTATTATGCTGAGAAGGCAAGGCATAGTAGTGTGTGATTGCAGAGATGATAAAATTGCCCATAGTACTAGAATATATTGGAGAACACAGTTATATTGCATAGCGAACTTAAGTCTTAAGAGTAACACAAAGGACCAAATCATTCCAAAGGTGCTTTTCAAAAGGCAACTGGATTTTCTTGATTTTTTTTTCCCCTTGAAGACATTTTACTTCTCATCCAAGAAGCTTCTTTAGTTTGAAGAACAAACTGAATAAACTTCTTGGGTGAGAAGCAAAATATCTTTAAAGGGGAAAAAAATCCCAAGAAAGTCTATGTACCTAATAAAAACACCTTTGGGACAACCATGACCCGGATGATTAAGAATCTCCATAGAAACAAAGGGCCAAATGTTGATATCTATGGTCAAAACCCTGGACCCTTCATAATTTTTTAGAAATCCTCAGCTCTGACAAACTTGTTTTCTAACTAACCCAAATCTGAAGTATGTACAGAATCTGTTTGCAAAATATCTCTCTTCTCCATAATTATAGAACTTAATTGTTACACCAGGAAGGAGATATTAAGCAAGACGTTCCTGAGCAAAATGGCTCAATTCTTAACAATACAAGCACGTCTTTTGCATGCCAGTATTGTTTTTCTTTTACAGAAAGACTCTTCCTGCTAGTTCCCAACTGACATTAGAATATTGTGATGAGCAAGAAGAGAAAATAAGACAAGAGAACGGTGAGTTTTTCCTTTTTCACAGTAGCATTGCCATGATTCTTTGAGTCTTCTGTTTTCAAATTCAGAATTAGATTAACACAGACAGGATCCCTGAGATTCCCTGCCCAGTGAACTCATCCTATAACTCATCAACTAGGCCCTCTTTAAACGGGTGGTTTAATCCCTTTACATTCCAGTCCAAATCTTGACCTAATATCTGAAAGTCGACCACATATGCACTCATCAAGCATTTATCTTGTCACAGGCAGTTGATTTTATGGTTGGCTGTCATCAGTTTAGCAAAATTATCAAAAACACTCCTCAAACACATCACAAAATTATCATCATTAACCATACAGTATCTAGGCTATTTTGAATCAGAAGGGATGGGAAGTTTTATACAGCCATCCATTATTCAATATTATTATAAATCTTACGAAGAACTGATCTATAGTAATTTATCCACAGGTTTTTTAAAAGTGTACTTCACACTGAGTGTGAAAGATCATATTTTTTGCCCACATTCCCATCATATTTGCCAGGCAAAATGAGAGAACAGCAGAGCACTGTAGTTGTAGCAGCTATTGCAACAACAGTTCCTAAGGCAATTGGAAGCTACACTAGAATTACTGGTGTGTTGCGCTATGATAAATTCTGGTCCATTAGCAGATGGTTCATTGAATGGACTGATCTTTCTAGGTTGTCATTTGATACTGATATTGGAGCAAAGCATTAAAAACTAACCCATGGTAAACAGGATAGCAAAAGGGGGTCAGTAACTATGGTCTTGGCCTAGAAAATCCAAATTGATCATTCTTTCAGTGGATCAGAAATAAGGAGAAATATCAGGTATATCTACTTTGGCCACTTGCAATAACCTTTGCAGTCTCAAAGGAATCTGTACTTGATATCTTATTATAGCAGCAAGCAATTGCAGAAAGATAAAAATCCATTCTATCAAACTAGGAACCTGACAGTATTTCTTTCTTTCTCCTACTTATTATTTTTGGTGTGGGGTACAAAGGATTATTTGCAGACTTTTTCTCACACTGGCAAATGATCACTCCATACCCAAGCTCTTTGTTTACTGCCTTTTACCTCCAACTTCACAAAAATTAATGTTCAATTATTGATTGAGATGCACCTTAGTGTAAGGGTTGATATGTTCAGTTTTGTTTAACACTGTTAGCTGATATATAATTTAATACTTCCTTCAGAAATGCAAGATTTCTTCCATAAAAACATGAATTGAATGATTCTAAACATTTTCATTTTCTATATTTTTTCCTGATCGTGGCTTTTCCTTGTCTATATAAGGCTGAATGAGCAAAGTAAGTATTCCCACCATATAAAGGAAGCCACATATGTAGAAAGAAAAGTCATATTTTTGTGTGAGATCATAAATCCATCCTAGAAAATAAAAAGAAAGCAGTCAATAGGGTACCATTAACAATAATAAAGAACATAGAACATAAAACATTACTTTTCCTATTAATACAGTATTACTCATTGTCAGACATAATTCTATGTCTCACTTCTTTTTTTCATCCATAACGAGATTGTCATTCATTACATTAATTTTGCCACTCTCTCAAATAAGTCTTTTCTCCTTTATCGTCTTAAGCCTGAAACAGTAGTGGGATGCTAGTCTGTTTCTTCAAATTTATACCGGTATTTTAAATACACTTTTTCTATAAAACTTCTGGAACATCTACTTAGATCAAGAGGTGGGCAACTTTGTTGTGACTTTGGTAGACTTATTTATTGCCTCCATGGGTTTCAGGAGCCATGACACTGACCCATCCAGTTCCCATTCTTTCAAGGGTAATTAGGGTAAGGGATTCAGATGGGGTTTATTTTTATTTGCACAAAAGTAAACCAAATTATGCCAATTATGTTTTCCAATGTTTTTCCAATTATGTTTTTTTTTTTGCAAAAAAAAAAAATATGGGTAAAGGAGGCATATTTTGCACAGAGGTGTGCAAATCTAGGTTTCAATCCTACTTTCACTAAACATAAGTGCATGTGGTTAAAATATATATATTCCTGTTTGCTTCTCTTTTCAGTTTCTTCACTTTTCTCTGCTCCTTTGTATTTATTAAAATTGCAGAATCCTGGTTGGAAGAAACCATTTCAGCCATGTATTTCAAACTCCCGCTCCATAGCAACATTCACATTAAAGTATTCCAATAGATAGCCAGCCTCAACATGAATTTATCCAATAAACCCACTATCCCTCAAGATAATAGAGTCTGTTGTTAAAATGCTCTTAGTATTGGAAGTCCCTTCTCCCAAAAAATTCAGTAAGAATCTGACTTCCTGAAAGACTATTACTGTCATTCCTGCATTCTGAGATAACAATAACATAAAAGTACTACAAGTTAATAAATAAGTATTTCTATAAAGGAAATGACTAAAACCTGTCTCTTCTTGATGTATTTTGCTGATGTTTTGTAGAAAATGAACATCTGTTGATTTCCAAACTTTAGTATCAGGGCTGTGCAAAACATTCAAATTAGATTTTTATAATTGGCAGGCATGCCACAAAGCAGTTGCTATGTCTTTTCTTCTTAGAGAAGCAAAGCAATTGAGCATGTAAATATAGGCAATGATAAGTTGCGATGGCGCAGTGGTTAGAATGCAGCGTTGCAGGCTGACTCTGCCCACAACCAGGAGTTTGAGCCTGACCAGCTCAAGGTTGACTCACCCTTTCATCCTTTGGAGGTCAGTAAAATGAGACCCAGATTGTTGGGGGCAATAAGCTGACATTTGTAAACTGGGCAGAGAAGGCTGTAAAGCTATGGTGCAATATAAGTCTAAGTGCTATTGCTATTGATACCATGCACGGTAAGTCAAATAAAATGTTACATTTACCTGCAAATGGTGGTCCCAAGAGTGCTGATACCCCATTGGCACAAATGATGATTCCGTAGGCATTTGCAAGATGCTTAATCCCTACTAGATCTTCAGTGACAACTGGCATAAGTGAAAAATATCCACTGGAAAATCCTATTAGGGCACAAACCACTGCTAGGCTAGCAAATGTATGCATTAATGGCAAAATAAAAATGCAAGAGACAAGAGTAAAATTAGCTGCCATGAAGACATTCCAAACACTGATGCAAGGCAAATCAGAGATTATGCCAAGGACGACCTTCCCCAAAATGTGAACAATTGCAATAATTGAAGTCAAAGGAAAGATGTCATTCTGTGCTGATAATCTGTACTGTTTCACTATTTCGGGGAGATGGATGAAAGGGATCACAAAAGTGCTATAGGCAAATAAAGCCCAAAATACAAAAGCTGCAAATGTTCTGTTGGTGAAGAGAGAAGCAGTTCCAAAGTAACTAGAATACCAGGTTCTGAAGCCTTTCTGGCTTGTAACTGTCAACTGGCCTACTCGCTTTAGAATACCAAGAGTATAGATTTCCTTTTGGTCTCTGATTCCATCTTTATTTTCCAAGGCTGAAATTTTGGCAATGTTTTCTTTTGTACCTTGTCCTCCCTTTGCCTCTTTCTTCACTTCCCTTAAAACACAATTAGATGTTAGCACTTCGGCAGAGCAGGAAAGAATTTTTGTTGGACTATTGCTTTGACTCTTGTTTCCATCCTTGCTTTGCTCAGGAGCTTCCTTCTTGTAACGAATTGGCCTCAGAAGTGCTCCACAAACACACAGGTTCAGACAGACTGCACCATGAAGGAACACGGCATTCCTCCAGCCAAACTCCAGACAAAGATATTTCAACAAAGCTGTCATCAGGAAGGCACCAAAGCCTGTTCCAGTTGTGCTGAGTCCCTGGGCAAGAGCCCTTCTCTTTTGAAAATATTCTCCCACCATAACCACAGCAGGCAGGTACACCATCCCACTTCCAATACCTGAAACATGAAACATTTCAGACTTATCCAAGAACCCTCCCTGATTGTATTAATAGACGATTAACTGACAGAAAATCCTAAAACAGGAATGAAAGGCTGGGCTAAATATCTAGACAAACATAGGTTTTGGCTCTCAGGAACTAGAAATGGGACATGAATCGTTCTAGGATCTTTTCAAACTTTATGTGTTAGAAAGTAGTCCTAAACTCATTATCAACACAAAGCCATCTATCCTAGAGCAAATCTACACTTCAACTTTTGAATATCAATTAAGTTATTAAATTTGGGTTGCAACAGAGGTGTAGAGTTTGTTAGAAGGCCCTCTCTTGATTTATTTTCAAAGAGGGGATCTACTTTTTTTAATTTAGACTTAAATTTATAATCAACAAGTACAATACATATTTGTGATTCATATCAGTCAGGCTTTTTGTCAGTGCACTGTTACTGTTTGGCAGCTGTTTTACTTCTTCCTTCTGGACTAGTTCCAGGAAAGACCTGGCCTAAGACCCTTCATTTTCAAAATGCCAGAGGATTCAATATTCTCCCCCACTTTTATTCAGTATACAATACATCTGATACTGCTGGGCTAGGTAATATACTGTTAAGTATTATTAGTGTGCAGATGATTACATCTAGATCCCTAGCTGGGCAAACAATGCTATGGAAGATGCTCCAATGCTTGGAGGCTGTGAGGGTATGGATGAGGAGGAACATCTTAGGCTCAAAACTAGCAAAACTAAGTGGCATTGGTTTCAAGGACCAACAAATCCCAATGATTTACCTTCTATAGTTCTTGACTAAATATCACTTCTCCAGGTAGAACTAGTACATAATTTGGGAATTCCTTTGGATTCTTGCTTCCTACTCAGGGAATAGGTGAGAGCAGAATCCAGAGGTTTTGCAGTCTCATCGTGTGCCAAATACCTCCTTTCCTGAATCAGATGGGTTCTGTCACTCATTACCTAGCAGCTCCCATTTGGACTATTGCAATGTACTCTATATAGGACTACTCTTCAAGACAACTCCAAAATTCCAACTGGTCCAAAATGCAGCTCCATGAATAATTATGATTGAATACATACTGTGTTATATATGCAACTTAACACCTTAATCAAGCTTATATAGCCTGAAGCTACAGTCTATGTGTTCACAAAGAAGATGAGCTGATTTGCTGCCACAGACTTAGGCTTGTTTGTGTTAACATATTTATAGTCTTCAAAAAAAATAGTTAGATTTCCTAATGTATATCCAAAATTATTTATGCTTACCAGCTATAATTCCAAATGTAATGAAGAGGTAATGTACATTTGAAGCATAGGAACTTAATATCCATCCCAGGGCATTTAAGATTCCTCCAGTTATTGCTGTCTTCCGACACCCGCAGGTGTTAATAAACAAACCAATAAAGGGACCTGTGACAGAACATGTGAAATAGATTGCTTTCATAAACTCTAATTATTTTCTTCACAGATATGAGATTTGGAAGCAGTTAAGTGCAATTTGCCAAATCAGTATACATCACATAAACATTAATGAGTAAAGGTCTATCTATACCCAAGGATTTGTCCAGTTATTTCTTATCAATACATGAATTTCAGGTACTAGATTACAGCAACAAGACCTTACATAAATGCAGTGTGTCTCAAAAAGCTAAATGTTTGTGGTAGAAAACTGTATACTGGAGCTCCTATACTGATAGTCCTCGATTTATTGTCACAATTGTGACTGGAACTTCCATTGTTAAACAATGTGGTTGTTAAGTGAATTGCACCCAATTTTATACCTCTTTTGCCATAGTTGAATCACGAGTCATTGGGTGAATCACACAGCCATTAAGTAAATCCATCTTTCTCCATTGACTTTGCTTGTCGGAACCTCCTATGATCATGTGACCCCAGGATGCTGTATCTGTCATAAATAGATGCCAGTTGCCAAACACCTGAATTTTAATCATATAATTGTGGGGACATGATGATCGCTGTAAGGCCAAAGACTGGTCCTAAGTCACTTTTTTCAGCACTGTTAGAATTTTGAACATTATTTAACAAATGGTTGTAAATTGAGGACTACCTGTATATACATTAAAGGCACTCCAAGGCTATGTTTTCATCATAGATCAACTATCAATAACAATTAAGCATGCATTTTATTTCCTATACACACATACACACACACAGACTAATTTAAGCCCAAAATTCAGATTTAATGTGTTACTCATACCCCAGATAGCCATCATATTAATCCAGATGCTGTAATTAGAGTTTATTGAAGGTTATGGCATCTGGGCTGAAGAACTTCAAGATAGAGATTTTTAATATAGTTATAATCACTTGAAGTTTGACAAATTGGCAGAATATACAGGCTGGAAAGTAGATATATAATGCATAAAATAGAAGCACACACAGGAAAATAATGGTGCTCTGTGTGTGCTTCCCAATCAGTGATGTCTGCACACTGTCATTGCTTTTGTCAAAATTATAAGAGTTGCAGCCTAAGTTCTGCCCACTTTTTGTCAATGTCTACAATATGACAGGATTTGTGATAGGACACCACAATGCTGCATTTGGCACGGCAATCCTCAACCCTTGCCTTCCTACAGATGCACTATTACCCACTGTAATTTAGAACTGAACATGTCATGCAAACTCAGTCTAAGATTGAGTTTAGCCATTGTATTAATCCATAATTGCTTGGATTTGTACAATATCCTAAAATGGTGATCCTGAATAAATAAATCGCTGGATTTGTACAATTACTAATAAACTACAGTTTATGACTGTATTTAATCTAAAGCAAGCAACTGAGATTATAGGCTGTACAATACATACATAAACATGTACAATACATACATAAAAAGTTGCATGTCAAAAAGCCAGACTGGCTACAAATTAGAAATTGGAAGAAAATCACAGTTTACCACCATCCTGTATTCCAGCCTATTGGAAGAACTGGACTATTTAATCAGTGTAAACCTGGCCTGATAAGATCTTTGGCATAAATAGCTGAGGATGGGTGCTTTCAACTTCCAAACTCTCCTACTGTAACTCGATCAGCTATGGTTACAGTGTTTGTCTTAATATTTTTATCATAGTCATATTAGTGCTGTGGGTCATCTACTGATTTGTAACATCATTTTCAATAATAAGCAAAGAAACTATATGCTACATCACAAACGTTTGAAATCCATTAGGAACAAACAAACAAAAATAATAGAAGACACTAGAAAGTCTATCCCACAACAAAATTCCAGCCATTCTAAAATTTATTTCTATGTTCTAATTTTATTTTATTTTATTTTATTTACATGAATGCACATTTCTCTTCTTTCAAATTAAGTCTATTTTAAGTAACCCGGGGAACTGATTTGAGCTACTATAATTCTTAACAAATATATTTCTACTGCTGTTTGAAGAGGTCCTCTTCAATAACCTAAGGGAAGGAGAAAGCGCTTGCCAAAATTGTATTTTTTATGAACTATCTTTCTTGTTAATGATTAATACAGCAAAAATGCTGATGTCTCAGTTACAATCTACAAAGCATTCATCTGTTTTCTTCCAGATTATTGTAATACAGTTCAGAGTACTAAAAATTAGGATCAAATAATTTCTTAGCACTTAATGCAAAACATAATTTTTTCTCAGTGCCAGACTTGAGGGGTTTCTTTAAATCGTTCTAAAACAAGAAATTTTTACATAATTTTGGAATTATTTTGGAATTTTGAGATAAAGAGAACTGCAAGTGTTTCAAGTTCAAATCAGTGATATTTATTATAAACCATTTACAAGGAACTATAGTGTTTCTAACCCAGACATTGTCTGAAAAGCTGCTAAAAATTAATTCAAAAATCGTCAGATGACCAGCTGAAAATTCCTTAAGAACGTATGTCTTGATTCCTGCATTATGCTGTTCTCAGCAAGTTAAAGTTTGTCCAAAGTTTCAAAACATTCACTTTTATGAATACAGTACATCTGTATGTGCTCATGACAGATTAGTAGATAAAACTGATAAAGGGCTAAGCATGGATCAAGAACAAGGCAGTAGAACAGAGTAATTCAGAATATATTGTAATTTGGATGAAGTTGAATAGATACCTCTAATGAACCATCTCCAGACTCAATTTGCTACTAAACACTAGCTTCAAACTCTTCTGAACTTTGTCATGCTGCAAATGGCAGCATTATAGTATCTGTGCCATGAAGAAAAAAAAATCTGAGGTTGTATAAATCACCCCACTGACAAGTGGAGAAAGGAGGATTCAGTGATTTATTTATTCAGAAATTTATATAGTTACCCTTTTTACAGTGTATATCATAACCCTCAGATTCCCCTGATCTGAGAACTACAGTCAGATCTCTGCCAATTGAACCAAACATAATATTTAGGATGGGTGGGGAAAAAATCATTAAAGTGGACAAGCAAAATACCTGCAGGCCTACCAGAAAGATGGGCAGGGCAGGGCAGGAATTTGTTTTAACCAAACTGTGGGTCTGCCTCTGTCCCATTGTTGCTGCTCAGCCCAACAGATCCAGCAGCGGAGGAATATTCTGGGCAGTGGTGAAATCCAATTTTTTTTACTACCAGTTCAGTGGGCGTGGCTTGGTGAGTGTGGTGTGGCTTGGTGGGCATGGCAAGGGAAGGATTTTGCAAAATCTCCATTCCCACCCCACCTGGTGCCAGCCAGAGGTAGTATTTGCCAGTTCTTCGAACTGCTCAAAATTTCCGCTACCGGTTCTCCAGAACCTGTCAGAACCTGCTGGATTTCACCCCTGATTCTGGGTCCCCTCTACTAAACAATGTCATGCTGTTGGATCCCAGTGTTGTGCCTTTTCTGTGGCAGAGCCGGTCTATGAAACAGAAATATCCCTCTAGAGATCTGAATAACCCCCAACTTAGTTAGCCCGTCAAACAGTGCTGAACACTTTTCTCCAGTCATTTGGATCAGGAAGTTGGATGTGCCTTGCTGTTGTTGATCTTTTTTTTGTGACCAGAATTATTGTGTTTTATACGTGTGTACCAGATTGTATGCTGTTCACGTCAATGGTGGGTTGCCTCCGGTTCGCACCGTTCTATAGAACTGGTAGTAAAACCGGCGGGAGGCTCCGCCCACCGATCCTGACATCATCCAAATGCTTCTGTGCATGTGCAGAAGCTTCTGCACTTGCGCAAAAAAGCACACATGCGCACAAGTGAAGCGAGCACACGCAGCCCTGCTGCGAACCGGTAGTAAAGGTAAGTAGAACCCACCCCTGGTTCACGTTCATATTTTAATCCTCGCACACTGCCTGCAGCAGTGGTAGGTTTCAAAAATTTTTACTACCGGTTCTGTGGGTGTGGCTTGGTGGGCATGGCATGGCTTGGTGGGTGTGGCTTGGTGGGCGTGGCAGGGGAAAGATACTGTAAAATCTCCATTCCATTCCCACTCCAGGAGAAGGTTACTGCAAAATCCCCATTTCCTCCTAATCAGCTGGGACTTGGGAGGCAGAGAATAGATGGGGGCGGGGCCAGTCAGAGGTGGTATTTACCGGTTCTCTGAACTACTCAAAATTTTCGCTACTAGTTTTCCAGAACTGGTCAGAACCTGCTGAAACCGACCTCTGGCCCCCAATATTATTCTGAGATGGTTGGTCTCGTACACAATTTAAATAAACAACTGCATTCAGAGTTTAGGAAATTCCACAGAAACCATCTGAATAAGGTATAATTCAGATTCAAAGGACTCATGAAGAGAGCCTTCTGATCCCTGGTCCAACATGGCCTGCTTACTGCTTGTTGAAGACCCTATTTTCACAGTGGAGTCTCCATCTCATTGCCAGACTGTTGCTGAGGCGGACTGAAGTCAGGGTCAAGGTGACCTGGAAGGAAAGTTGTTTTCCATCCGAAGTGCAATAACACCTTCTAGGCAAATATTCTGAATTGCATCAAAAAGGAATCTAAAGGTGGTCGGCAACCTGCACAGCTCCAATTAGCTCACTGCAGCACTTCCCTACCTGACTGTGAGGCTTTGTTCCTCCCTGTTTCCTTTCTGGCTGCTAAAGAGAATAGAGCATTGCTGTAAAGCCTGCAAGAACTTCTTCTGCAACGTTTTGCAAACATTCATGCTTGTTCTCTGGCTCAAGGAATTCTATCACAGCTGAATGCATAAAGCAACAACATTTTCTGCTGTACTGTATTTTAAAACCGTTAAATGGCCAAACCTAATTGGCTCCACTAACTATGAAACAAAAAATAAAAAAGAATATTTGTTGTCACATGTACTCCAGAAAAGTTTCCACAATCAAAAAGATTTTAGCCTGAACATGCTATGTCAAGGAGATTGCCATATGCAAATCTAAGGAATATTATTTTTATTAATAAGGTAAGACTGAGCAAATACGTTTAATATTACATATGGGAATCCCCATGTTATTGAGTATTTCTTATCCCATGTATATAAGCTTTTTCCGCTGAGATAATGGGTTATCCTATGTAACTGCATAGGACCAATTTTGATACATCAATATTTAATCAAGATGGCAACTGGTATATAATAGGAACAATATGGGATCCTACCTACAATCAGAGTAATGCCCATATTGAGGGAGCTGACCCATGCCGTCAGCCCTCGACTTTGACTGAACTCTTCAAGCCATTCCATGTTGAGAATTCCAAGAGCCATTTGTGATCCCATGATGAGTATATGCACCAGGAAAGAAGAAAAGACTATCATCCAAGCCCATCCTCTATCAATATCTGGATTTAACTTCAGCTTCTGCTCCCTCTCTTTAGAGTTCTTTTCAGAATCCGAATCAACATCTTCGTGACTGTCGTACATTTTCGGTCAAGTACCTTTAAAAAGATCAAATAATATTTAGTAGTTCCTGATAAGAGTTGCATTTCATTTACTTACTGTTACATTTTTAACAAGATGAAACACAAGTGGATGATACTTGCCAATTGACCATTTCAATGGTACTTCATTGAATTGGCTACTTATAAGAATAAATCAGGATAAAATCTTTGGTGTGGGATTGTCCCCATGGAAGAGCAGGCTACTTACAAAAATTGCAGGCATCTGTGCTGCCTTCTTCCTTTCTTGTCTGAGCCTTCCCCACCCCTCATCAGCACAGCAGGGCTGCTATTCAAGCTGTAACCTTGGAAGCTTTGTAGTTACCAGCAAATAGGGTGAAATAACCAAACCAAAGAAGGTGTTTTTCTTTCAAAAGAGGAAATTGTCCAGACGAAAAAGAGGTACAGCAAGAAAAAAGTGCAAACATAATATGGCACAATGTGGAAAGTTGCAAGTATTCTACATGTGGTTCAGTAATAGAAGAAAAAAACAGAAGAAATAGTGTAAGAAGAAAATAGCTTTGGTATAGAATGTAGTATTGTAATAGTAATTGAATAATAAAAGTATTGTAGGTGTAATTGTAATAGTAATTTGTGTAGCAATTTAGAAATAATAGCAATAGGACAGAATATAGAATAGAGATCACTTTGCATATAGGCTTGTAATTTTTACATTTTACTTCTGTATATTGGTTTTTATCAAAATAAAATATCTTCCCAACCTTTATAAGGAAATATTAAACATCTGTCCAGACACCAGGGCTTTTGTGGCTCTTTTGAGTCTAGATCAATCTAACTGGGTTTAGTTTTTTTTAAAAATGAGATTCATCCAAGCTAACAATATAGGACATTTTAGGGTTAAAGTGTTTTCCTACTTGCTAGAAGTACAGTCAATAGCTTTAAAAATTTGTTATATTGCATATTTAGCCAATATAATTTTAAAAAGGTAATTGTGCCATGCTTACCAGCATTCATGTAGAAACACCTCTAAAACTAAAATTGATTAAAGAATAATATGAGAGAAAAAGGCAACATGTGGATTTTCACTTTCAAACACCTCTTCCAGTGATACAATAGCACATAAATACTGTATATCTGGTAAAAGTTGAATTTATTTCTGCAGCTGACCTAAGGGAAAACAATGAGGGTCATAATCTAACCTAAAATTAACCCACCTGCTGCTTTCTATAGTATACCATCTGCACTATTGATTTTGCATAGTTATACCATCTGTTGCTTATCTCAAGATCTTAAAAGCTGCTTTCTGAGCTCTGCCCCTTCTGAACTACACTCTTTTTAAAAATGTGTTGTGTTTGCAGTATCATGTATTCCAGCTAAAATGCATTTACTAGCAAATTTTGTTCACATCTGCAGAAAAAACTTTGCCTTTTGAAGAGAGGGGATAACAACATGCTCTTAACACTGGGAAAATAAATGATAGAAATACATGAACCCATTCTTCATGGGCTCATTTCACCGCATCATTTCATTGTTGCCTGAATGATCAGAAGAGCAAAAACCATTTGAGCCAGTAGTGGTTAAGGTACCAAACTAGAAACTTGGGGATTGAAGTTCTAGTCCTTCTTTAGGCATGAAAGCTGGCTAGGTCAGGGGTGTCAAATTCGCGTCATCACAGCAGCATCATATGTCGTATCACGTCTTTTTTCTGCCTTGCTAAACTGGGCGTGGGCATGGCCAGCGCGTGATGCATCCGGCCCACGGGCCACGAGTTTGACAGCCCTAGGCTAGATAAATTTGAGCCAGTCACAGTCTGTCAGCCCAACCCAGCTCACAAGGTGGTTGCAGTGGGGAAAATAGAAAGAAGGTGTATTAGATATGTTTGCTGTTTTTAAAAAATACAGTTTGTATTCTGTTTGTAAAAAATTTACAAAAAATAAGAAAGAGAGAAAAATACACTAAAATGTGGAATATCTAGATTTTACATATTAAAAGTCTGTGAGATAAAACTATAAAAGAGCAAATCCCACAAAATATTCAGGAAAACACCAAACGTGTATGCCTTAATCTATATTTAAATTATGGTGTTGCATTAATAATTGATTGTTTAATATTATTAAAAATATTTACATTGCAGTGTATTTTATTAGAACAGCAGCTATATTGCAGAGCCAATTCATTCACACTGCAGCTTTATTGAAAGATGCAAAAATTTTTGTAACTGAAAACATTTGCTCCCCAGCAAAGCATTTCTAAGGTGACTATTTCTGCCGTTTGCTGTAGTTGCAGAGAAATTTAACCAAAGTACATGGTGTTGATATTTCAACATCTAGCAATAGGAAAGGGTATCAAACTGTTTACTTTTGTAGCACGGAATTTTGGCAAAGGGTGGTGTTTTTTTTTAATACGCTATATCTCTGGATCGCTAAACTGCAAATATGCTTTGAAGCAGGAAAGGTCACTGATTTTTCTAATGAATTATGCCCACGCCCCATCAGCTGGACAGCACTATGATAGGACAGAAGATCTCACCTCACAACTGAGTCAGAGTAACCTTGATCTCCTACCATAACCTCAACTCATTCCCTTGTATGACCAGGTTACTGTTCCCCAATTAAATATCATAGAAAAAATTAGAAAGATTACATTATCAAAAAGGAGCAGGAAACTCTTTGGAGAAGCAATGACAAACACTGTTATTTGTTCATAATCAAGCAAGATAAGCAGATCCCAGTATGCAATGAAATATTGATCAACTCTCATACTCTTTTGTCAGAAGGTTAACATTTAGTTTTTTAAAAAATTATTATATGTTTGTCGTGACCCAGGGCAATACGTAATATAAGGAGAGAAAGCTGGTATGGAAGATTGTAGTCTTTGAAACTCTCATGGGAATTTTAGCAATCACTTTCCTGTTTAGGTATGAAAGTGATGGATTATTTTTATTCAGGTAGAGAAATTTTGTTGTGAAGATAAAATATATAAAAGACTATATTTTACATCACAAATATAGGTAGTCTTTGACTTACAACAATTCAGTTAGTGACCATTCAAAGTTACAATGGCACTGAAAAAGTGACTTATGACCATTTTTCACACTTATGACGGTTGCAGCATCCCCATGGTTACATGATCAAAGTTCAGGCATTGGCAACTGACTCATATTAATTACCCTTGCAGTCCCAGCATCATGTGATCAGCTTTTGCAACCTTCTGACAAGCAAAGTCAATGGAGAACCAGATTCATTTAACAACCATGTTACTAATTTAATAACTGCAGTGATTCAGTTAACAAATGTGGCAAGAAAAATCATAAAATGGGGCAAAACTCACTTAACAAATTTCTCACTTAGCAACATATATTTCAGGCTCAATTGTGGTCATAAGTTGAGGACTACCTGCAAACACATATCCTGGGTAAGTTGTCAATACATTGCATATAATTCTAGTTTGCAGGAGGCAATAGTATGTTTGCTTGCAAGGTAATCTCTATGGTAGAAATCCTATATTAACTTAATATTCGATGTGTCTGTAGCATCAAAATATGTCACAGTGATTGTTACTATCCATACTAATATTATGTAATGCTACTGTAGAGCCTGCATCTTCTCTATATAATTAAAATTAATATAAAATATTCAGTTAACCATAACTGCCATTAAATCCCACACAAGATCAAGGGAGCTAGAACTACTCAGGTTTCTGAAAGATTTCAGATTTCACTATTATATTTAATAGTGTTCTGGGGTAAGTACAAAATCTTGGAAACTACGCGAAATTTCCCACTTTCATTTGCAGTGAGTTAATTAAATCAAATTATCTTTGAGTGATTTGAAACGGTACTTCCCAAATTATTTTTACATAAGATTACATTTACATCTATAAAATAAACTATCAACCAACTCTGTTATTTGATTGTATATGCCTACTCTCTCTTCCTTCTCAGCCTCCCCCAATCTCTACCAGCCATGACATGTGGAAGAGGTCATTAAGTGCAAGTTGAACTGGTGAAGACTGTGATAAATACAACACACACACACACACACACACACACACACACACACATTTTCTGCATGAAGATGGTCTGGTCTTGAGTTTGAGTTGATGAATAACTACAGGGAACTAAAGGTATACATTTAATTATTAACAAAAAGGACAAATATATATCAGAATTGATTTCATCAAGACTGCATAAGAAAATAGAAATATACAGGTTGAGGATAGTTGCAAATCAAATCCCGGTGAATAGTTACAATAGAAAAAACAGAGATGAGTTTTGGGGAAATTTTCACAACTTTCAGAATGAATGGGATCTGGGGGTGAATGGGTGACAATTAGGCTGCTAGGTGACATAAATAGATAGATGAAACCAAAATGTGTACAAACAAAATATGATTAGGCTACTTTGAGTCATAAAAATGAATAAACATGGTAACTGTATGTGTGTATTTGCTTAGAAAAAGGTCTTTTTTGAATATATATTTTAAGTGTAAATCTATGCCACATGAACAAATTATAAATCTAAAAGCTGTATTGATTAGATTGTGCTGAAATATTGAAATAGTGGGAGTACATGGCTAATCAGAGATTCTTAATATGAGACAGAACATTTTGAGGTAAAAACAAAAGTAGATGGATACAGAACAAAAAGGAAAGAATATGCATATTGGCCATTTTCAGTTACATAAAAATCATTTTAATGCAAAACACAATTGTAAATGTATATAACACATAATTTTGACAGCAAACCATTTGTCATTAAATAACACAAATACATATCAATTAAATATAGGCAGATCACAATTTCTGCTTCACTGAGATGTCACATGGTCTAAGGAACCCAGTATTTCATTCTCTCCTAAATTCAATGCTTTTATTCTCCAAAGATTTTTGGGCTGGTAGAGGACAGGAACACCTGGAGGAATGTTGTCCATGGGGTCGTGATGGGTCGGACACGACTTTGCGACTAACAACAACAAAAATTTCATTTCATTCTTTTTGTATCTGTTGGCTTCAAATACTATGATTTTCATATTTTCCTAGAGTAGTCTGTACAGCGCCTTACTCAATGCTCAGCCACTCAATTCCACACATTTTGGGCATTTTAGTATTTTAGTGGACTCCCATGTTCTTCCTACCTGGCCTTCAGTGACCACCCTGTTTCTCCTATGTCTATTTTCTTGTGGGGTGACATGGGTTTCCTAAAATGGTTCCTTTCTGCAGATTTTGGGGTAGTTACTTTATACAGGCATTTTTGTTCTACTCTTTTGAATTCTCCTGATCTTTTCTGTGTATTTATTGATTTATTGCATTTATGGCATATCCTTATATCACTTATACTATTCAT